GATGTCGTAAAGAGGTCACACAGGGTTACACACTATTAAAATCAAGTGTTTTTAAGGGATTTTTTGCTGATTTATTAGTGTGTAACCCCCTTAATACAAACCCTAGCCGTGGTGTTTTCAACCAAGAGTTCGCTACATATATCTAAAATTTTTTTAAAGAACTTTTTCTTTTTTTAGAAAAAAATAAGATAACATCGTCGTCATTGTCATCAACTTTTTTTTGATTATTTTTCGCTTGTTCAATTGTTTTGATTTTTTCTTTAGCATTTTCTTTTTTTTTAATGTAATTTCATTACGATTCTTCGTGATGTTTTCTTTATTATCTTCATTGTCGTCGTTATTATCTTGTATTATTGATAAAGATTTCTTTAAATTATCATTCTCTCTCGTAAACTGTTCAAATCATTTTCCTATGAGACCAATCAAGGTTCATTAAAAACAAACAGTCGGCCTTATCCATTCAAGAAGATTTATTACTTACCATGTCTTTTAACAGTTCACTAAGAAACAAATATCAAGGTATATCAAGGTTAAGGTTTTAGTTTACATAAACCATTCCTTTTAAATACCTAGTGATGCCGAGTGGTGATAACTACCATTCTTTTTAATAAACATTTTCCCTTTGGTATTGGCTCTTTCGACTTCTCTTTTTCTTTTGTTGTTGTTCTTATTGTTGCGCTTTTTTTTTAAAAAAAAACGAAAATTTAAATATATTTTTTGGAGATGTTTTTAAGACTGCAACTTGCAATTGTATAGATCAGTAAAGTATTTTTATACTTCAATGATCAACATTAGATGTTTTTTGATCGACATATATTATATAATAATAATAATAATAAAATATTAAATCGTCAGAATAGTATTGGTTGGTATTAGTAATTAGTATTAGGCATCTGCTAATACTAATATTAAATCAAGATCCGCTAAATCATCGTTATTGTACTATTACTATTACTATTTATTATTATTATTATTACTATTAGTAGTTGGCAGGTCCATATTCCATACATCCAAATGAAAAGTATGTACCCAATAAAATTTCTAGTACAAAAATTAGTATAAAATCTCTACGATTATAAATACAATGACCTTTGAATTTTTTTTTAGCAAAAAAAAATGTCTACAAAATTTATCACACCATCAAATTTGACTGCTAATAAAAAAACATTTACAAATGGAGTGATAACCAATAATCATTCATCTGTTCAAGCCAACTTCAAAGTTAAAACAGGTCTTGCTCAAATGTTGAAGGTTTGTTTTTATTAATTTTATTTTTTCTGATCAAAAAAAATTTTTTTTTAAAAATTATTTAATTACCATTAAATAATAATAAAGGGAGGAGTAATTATGGATGTTGTGAATGTTGAACAAGCAAGAATTGCCGAAGAAGCTGGCGCAGTAGCTGTTATGGCTTTAGAACGTGTACCAGCTGATATTAGAAAACAAGGTTTAAAATATATTTTTTTTAAATAAATAAATAAATATATAAATTCAGAAATCAACATTGTTGTAATCTAGTAAAATTTCATTATTAATATTATTAGGTGGCGTTGCTAGAATGTCTGATCCAAAAATGATAAAAGAGATAAAAGCAGCAGTCACAATTCCAGTAATGGCTAAAGTAAGAATTGGACATTTTGTAGAAGCTCAGGTAAAATTGAACACTATGTTTTCCTTTTTTCCAATTGTTATTTTTCATGTCATTATGTATATATATATATATTAATTTTATTCCATATATATTTATCATCAACAACAATAAAGATTTTAGAAGCAATTAATGTTGATTATATTGATGAATCCGAAGTACTTACACCAGCTGATGAACAACATCACATAAATAAAAATAATTTCAAAGTTCCATTTGTATGTGGGGCTAAGAATTTAGGTGAAGCACTTCGAAGAATTACTGAAGGTGCTGCAATGATACGTACCAAAGGTGAAGCAGGCACAGGAAATGTGGTAGAAGCTGTAAAACATATGAGAACTATTACAAATGAAATTAGAAAAGCTTCAGTTATGAATGACGAAGAATTATATTGTTATGCTAAAGAAATACAGGCACCTTATAATTTATTAAAAGAGACTGCTGAATTGAAAAGACTTCCAGTAGTGAATTTCTCTGCCGGGGGTTTGGCAACGTAATTATTTGATGATACAATATATCATTTTAACATTGATTATTCTTAAAGATTTTAACTTTATTTTATTTACTTTTTAAAAAAATATTTACAAACAGACCTGCAGATGCAGCAATGATGATGCAACTTGGGTGTGATGGTGTGTTTGTTGGTTCTGGAATATTTAAATCTGGCGATCCAGCAAAAAGAGCCAAAGCCATAGTTCAGGCTGTAACTTATTACAATGATCCAAAAGTATTAGCGAATGTATCTGAAGATTTAGGTGAACCTATGGTATGTTATGTTTTCAAATTTAAGATGATGCTATCGTTTTAATTTGTTCCATCTATTAAAATAACGTTTTCAAAAAAAATATTAAGGTTGGCATTAATATTGAAACAATACCGACGCATCAACTTTTGGCTAAAAGAGGATGGTGAAATAAAATTTTATATATAATTTATATATAATTAAAAATTAAAATGAATAATTTTATTTTATTTCTAATGTATGCTCGATCTTTTTTATTTATTTATTTATTTAATTTAATAAAGAAAATTAATTGATTTTTTATTTAATAAAGAAACGTTATGGTGTAAATTAGTTTTTTCAATTAAATTAATACGCGTATTTTATATTATTATTACAGACATACACCTGGACAAAAAGTTCGGTCACATGCTCGAAACACGATTGGGTGGCCATAATTGAAATGTTATAAATCACTAATCATCGTCGTTGTCATCAATTATTTCACCTAATGCCAAAAATTAAATGACTTCAATTTCTACTGCATTTCGAGTTACAGCTCCATAGGCGGGTCTATCAATGGAACTGCGACCTACAAGAGTGATAAGGGAAATCAAACTTACAGAGATATTGTCTAAAAATGTGGATATGTTGGATTTCGGAATCCTGGCAAATGATTTGTGTATTGGAAGATTTATCTATTCATTAAATTTATAGTGCGTATGAAATTTTACAACGCTTGTTATTATTATGATCGGTTTATCCTACCCTTTATTTTTTTCTTATTAAATTATTTTGTTGGAAACATAATTTTTATACGTTCCCAGCCCTTTTTGAACAAATTTAAGATATTTTTCATTTTCGTAGAAATTTAAAAAGTGTATTATTGTGTGTGGCCGTTAAGGCAAATGAAGACAAGACATCAAAGAAAAAAAATTATGAAGGCAATAGTAAAAAACGCAACATCACATTTGTTTCAACGAATTATGAAAACATATAAAAATACGACTAGTAAATTTTCTTATCGTTATATGTCAAGCCATTTCGTTGTAACAAGGAAGGTTATAGTTTGGTTATCGTACCAAATCTTTGGTTTTTGCCATTTTATTGGAATCGAATTAGCTGTGTGATATAAATATACAAAGCGTGATAATAATAATAAATCAGTAATGAAGTTAAATCAACATATTAATACAAATATAAAAGTAAAAATGTAGTATCCGTTCCAAAAACGTTGTTTAATTACTGTTATACATATATACTCTCAAGCGCTTTTGTACTAGATCATGTGGTTTTTTTGTGTTTTATTGCTTCTAATTATAATTTAAAAACAAACTTTGGGAGAAATGACGTATTCGCAGTAGATACATCATCACCAAGAATAGCAAATGCACAATCTAGAGCATTCTGTGAAGAAGGTACATACACAACAGCAACTCCAATACTGTACGATTCAGGTAAAGTGGTTGGTATCAGAACTTCTGCTGCTATATTAAATGCAGCTCCAGCTGGAATTTGACACTCTCTTCCAGTACAAATAGCCACAACAACGAGAACAAGATTTCCGGAAACAATGAACCAATCGGTTCCTCCAGAACAATATATCAGGTGAAAGTGTTACAGTGATTGTATGTGGTGTTCCCACAAACTAAAGGATATGATTTGAAGTTAATATCTCTTTTATTGTTATGAAGTTAACTTGAAATAGTATCGACAACGGAAACATAGCCAATGAAAAATAAAATTTCGGCTCACAATTTCTTTGTGAATGTAGAATTAAACAATAAACAAAAAAGATAACATATTCATTGCTTTTAAATTATCGCCTTTACTGTGGAGTTTCGTTTCGGTGTTGATTTCTTTTTGAGAAATAGATGTATGAAGAATATTACTACAATACGAAAGATAAAATATGCCAATCAATTAAGCCGATGTCTTATACTACACATATCTTTTTCTCATAATTATCCTATTGATCCGAGACGTAGTGTCTCATATAATGAAATCCGATCAATATTAGCGTATGATTGTATACTAGAAACAACCTGGTAAGAGAGACGACGTGCATTAATGAATTATGGATAAATTCTTTAAATTATTATATCCATTGAAGTTAATATTTTTTTTCTCTTTTCCTTATTTATATATTTTTTATTGGAGTTAATGGAAAGATGTAATGAACTAAAAATTCTCGAGCCCACATTGCTAATGTCAAAATCGCAGACGTTATAACACTAATAGTAAAATGTAAAATGTATTGGGTATTAGTATTAGTATTTTAAGGAGCGAGACAAATCAAGTGACTAAAAATCAGTTTATTGGACCAAGATTGCAAAATATGGGGTACGGCAAGCAGAAAGGAATCCATTGAGAAAATATAAGAATTGATCAACTAAAGATAGCTCCTCAATTAATTGCGACTAGTTGCAACTAATTACGGCATATAAAAATTGAATTGCAGCTAATTGCAGTCCCATCTTTAGCATCTGATCGAGAGAGTAAAATTCAGGAATCTGAAGAAGTAAAGCCTATATAATATTATAAATTTATATTATTGCGTATTACATATCATTGTGTCATTAACATTAAATATTCATTCAATATATACATAAATAGTGGATTTCAGAGGTGATGCATTTTTGTCAAGGTTTGCCAATCATCTTAGTTGGATGTAAGAAAGATTTAAGATTTGACCCCAAGACAATTGAAGAATTACGTAAAACATCCCAAAGACCTGTTACAACTGAAGAGGTAATAATTCTCCATTTCTTGATCTTTTTAAAAAAATTTACATTCAATTCTATCAATGAATCTAATTATAAAATTTAATTTCGATCATTATTCTAATAATTATTAAGGGTATGGGAGTAGCTCAAAGAATTGGAGCATACAAGTATCTTGAATGTTCAGCCAAAACTGGTGAAGGAGTACGTGAAGTATTTGAACATGCTACAAGGGCTGCACTTTTGACTAATAAAAAAAGGAAAAGTACTTGTATGGTTTTGTAAATGAAATGAAATTAATGTTATTTATAAAAATTATGATCATTATAAAAAATATTAATTAATTAATTATATTTAAAAATACATGTTTGGAATATGGAGAATATATAATATATATATTTTTATATATATATATTAATTAAATTATAATTTGAATCATACAAAATCAAAAAAATATTATATATATAAATATATATGTTTTTTGGTGTATTTGTTCTTTTTTATTGATTTAATATTAATAATATTATAATTATATATATATATGTTAATTACAAATTGTTTATTTTTATTTTTAGTTCTTCATCTTGTCTAGTAATTATTATTTTTCTTACTCTTTTAAATTCTTTTCTTTAAATTCTCTTTTTTTATTATTATTAAATAATCAATCATAATATCATCTCTCTCTATTTATTTATTTTTCTTATAATATGATCTGATCTTTCAATAATAGTAAATTATAATGAATTGATCTGATAAAACATTAGTTACATGATGTCTAACTTTTGATATATTTATTTAGGATGTTTGATTAAGTTGATCATATAATTATAAAATAAATATTATTAAATTGATCAGATATTTAAGCATAATCATGACATCACCAAATATCGATATTTATTTTGATAAATACAAAGAAAATAAATACAAAGAAAATAAATACAAAGAAATAAATAAAAAAAAAAAATCAAATCTAAATATATTAAATTCAATTTATACATATATTATTCTTACTACTTCACTCTT